GTGTCAGTGATATTTTATAGGGTATAATGTTACAGTGATATTTTATAGGGTACAATGTTACAGTGATATTTTATAGGGTATAATGTTACAATGATATTTTATAGGGTATAATGTTACAGTGATATTTTATAGGGTATAATGTTACAGTGATATTTTATAGGGTATAATGTTACAGTGATATTTTATAGGGTATAATGTTACAGTGATATTTTATAGGGTACAATGTTACAGTGATATTTTATAGGGTATAATGTTACAGTGATATTTTATAGGGTATAATGTTACAGTGATATTTTATAGGGTATAATGTTACAGTGATATTTTATATTCTATTTTCTAACAGGTACAGAGTTTGTGATGAGTGTTGATGCATTCTACTGTTCACTGTGTAACGAGTATATGGGAGATATACCATCAGCTGAAGCTCATTTAAACGATATTTCACATTTTAATACGTATAAGGTATGTTGTATGTCTTCACAGAAAGGTTCTGTAGCACTGTGGGTTCACCCCTGTCATTAGGGTGGGATCTGTGGTGGCTGGGCCGCAGCAAGTGAGATTTAAGCCCCAGCAAAACCTTATAATGTCGATAAATATCCCAGCAAACCATTCTTCAGTACAAAAGAGATTGATTCATTTACTGTGTCTTTGTACAAAAATAAAAAGATGAAGATTTTGAAATGTTTTTGGCCTCTCAAAATTGTCAGTAATGTGTTCTCTGGGACTTTAATTGTTCAATTTTCTGAATACCAAATCTTAGCCCCAGCATCAATTCATTCATGGCAACGGAACGTGGTGGGTTAAGTGGTTGGAACCTTTACTTGACTTCATTTGCTTGGTTATGTTGAACATCTAATGTTGGGATCTAATTGTGTTAGTCTAGTCAACCAAGCTGTAAATGGGAACAGATAATCTGGAAAAGATCAATGCTAAGAGGTTTGGCCATATTTTTATCATATAAAGCAATTGATAAGAGAGTAGCTAAATTCTATTCTATCAAACAAATGATTAGGATGCTTACATTAACCAATAACTTACAAAAATGTGATGTCTTTTGCAGGCTTACTTGGCTAAAAACCCATTCTACGAGAAACGGTATATCCTGGAAAAGACGGCCAAACTCTCTATAAAGAAGGAAGAAAGAGACCAAGAGCAGAAGAAGGAAATGGACAAGACACGGCAGAGCAATCGAGAGAAAGATGCTAAAATTAAAGAGAAGGAACGGAGATGGGATAAGGAGGTTCAGGATTTGAGTGACAGCCAACCACAAGAGCGACAGAAGAAACCAGACAGCGCCGACATCAAATTGAAACTGGCCGGTAAAAAAGAGGAGGAGAAACAGTATGGTAAATTCACGTGGAAGAAGGATGGAAAAGGTGTCGTGAACACGCCTGCTAAACTTGTTGCGGATGAAGAAGAGATCCCATTGCCACCTGCAACCACGGGCACAGTGTTCCCAAAACCCAAACTATTCTTACCTGATGCTTCAGAACAGCATTTCCCAGCTCCAAAAGTTTCTCAGAATGTAGTAGAATTACCAAAACCGTCTAGAAATAGAAAGAGAGCTAAGAAAGGAAACCAAATAGTCTCTGAGAAAGATCCCGTGCCAGTGGTAATCCCTACTGTCATTGGAAGAATTCCCAGAGGGGGAGCTAAAAAAGCCACAGTATTGCCCTCATGGACACCGGTTACCAGAAAGATACCAGGTAGTTCCAAGGTCCAGCCGATACCAAAATCAGAACAGCAGTCCAAGACACAGGCGGAGAATCCTGTTTCTCTGGATGAGTTTTTGAGCACTGGTCAGGATAAAGATAAGGCAGTCCCAGTTGTCCCAGGACCGGACTTAAACCTTCTGTCTATCCCTCTCCCTCCCAGCGAACCAGCCACCCCAGGCACCCAGGAGGAGCAAGAGGATTTGAAGATGCTTGGCATAGATCCTGAGTCTAGAGCACCCCTTGCTACCCCAGTTGCTCCACCTCCTGTGTCCCAAAATTTGAGTCTTCCAGAAAAGAAATCTAATATGTCTGCCACGACGGCTTCCAATATGTACGGTATTTACTTCGACAGCAAGCAGAATGCTGCAGCCGCTGCCACCAATGAAAATAATATCAATGTGGAAGCAGAGAACTCGAAACTTCAAGAAGCAAAAGATAACATGGAGGTTGTAGCCATGGATGTAGATAGTCCAGCACCAGTAGTGGCTGATGATGCCTCACAAGATTCTCTGAAAGATTCAGCTAAAGCATCAGTAACTAAAAGTAAAGATCTCTCTGATGGAAAAGATCAGGTAGATGTCCAAAGTTCACAAGAAAAATTAGATATAAACAAATCCTTAGAAACAGTAGATCTTCAAGATTCTCAAGAAAAATCAGATACAGATAAATCCAAAGATAAGGTAGATGTTCAAGCAACTGGTGAAGCTGAAGTAAAAACAAACACAGAAAGTAAAAGGGGGGAGGAAAGCAAGGAACATGATGTACAGAGTAAAGAAGCTGATTTAAAGGAACACAGTAATGTGGAGTCTAAAGAAACAAAATTAACTTCTGAAGCTGAAACAGAAAAAGCTGATCAGAATGTGATACAACAGGAAGCAACGGGAAACAACTCTGATGAAAATGTGGTAAAACTGGAAGCAAAGGGAAATAACTTTGATGAAAATGCTGACGGAAATGAGGACAGCAATGATTCCACCATCATCATGTCGTTGGATCATGATAATTTTATGGAGGGTATGACCGTGATTGATGATGATGATGAACATTCTGATATGGATCACTTGGAAGGAATGACGGTCATTGACGAGCACCTCGACGAGGACACTATGGGGGACACTTTAGCCCAAGATGACACTGATGGGGACAATTTAGCCCTAGACGACACTGAACAAGGGGTATTGACAGGGAATGTTGACGACAAGGGTATTAATGAGACAGACCTAGCTGATGCTTTAGATCAATTCACTGGGGCTGAGGACCCTTCTGGTTTCTTAGACTCCATTGACAATGAAGGGGAGGACACGAACCCTGAGATTATTTCCCTACCGGATATTCTTGCAAATGAGGGGGGTGCCACAGATGCTATTCCAGAGGATGCTATCGTGCCTGGAAAAGATGACCCACTTCTGGTCGTGGCTGTGGACACAGTTGAAGATTCTCTTCCGGAGAGTATTCCAGTTGAGGGTGGGGATAATGTAGGGTTAACTGTCTCCCTGATAGAAAATTTCTCTGAGGAAAGTGATTCTAACAAATGCTTCGATCCTTGTTTAGCGGATTCCGTGGCAGATGAAACTGTTTCGTTCGTGGATGGTATTTCAGTTTTGGAACCATCAGATCCTGTGGAAGCAGAAGACACTATCTGTCCCGAGGAGTTTAAAGGAATTTCTCTTGAAATGGCCGGTGAACAGGAGGACCTTGACATCAGTGGTGAGTTTCTGTTTTTTTTTCTGCTTTTTTCTGATATTGCACCTTTGCTATGTTTTTGGGGTTTTATTCTTTTACAGGTGGCAAGATCCTTTGCTCTCCTACAATGTGATCTTTTCTAATCAATGATGACTTAAGATTCCGAAGCATTGTTTTCTTTCTTCTTTCATGTAAACTAAATACCCATCGTCCATGGTAGAAAGAGGTGTTCTAGAATGCTTTGGTTTTCATTAGTTTCTTCAAGAAAGCTTCCAACAGATCCAAAATTCAATTTATTTATAGCAATCATCTGATTTGTGGGTGATATGATATTTTCAGATGGGCAGAGTCTAGGGAGCAGTATTGATATGGGAAGTGATTTCGAAGTTTTGGATGAATGTGAAGATGAGGTAGATATTGCTGATGGTTGAAGTTGCTGTTGGCTGATGTTGTTTACAGCAACTCAATGACATGGTGAACTATTGTTGTATATATAGAATGTAACAAGTACCCCAGCAGTGTAGTGGCTGTTGCAAGAAAGTGGTTCCTGTATAAATCGCTTAGCTTTTTGAAATACAGATTGTACCAGACTTTTCAAAAGTGGAAAAGTGGAATTGAGAAGAACAGATTGTCAACGAAAGACCCAAGAATAGAAGTGATATTAAAAATAGAAATTTCATCTTAAACCAACCTTGAAGTTGTTGATATCACAGAGAGCACCAATAATATATTGTTTTCTGTGTCAAAATGAAACAGTATTTGGTAGTAGAAAGAGAATTTTTAAATGTGTTCAAAGACTAGAAGACTTAAAGATACTTATTGAAGCTGTTTGTCCCTCACCTACTTAACGATGACGCTGTAAATTGTTGAAACGTCTTGATTGTTAATTGATGTAAATAAATTCAGAAGTTGTAGTAAATTAAACTGTATTGTGTTTCACCAACATAACAAACAAATCAATGAACCAGTGAAAGAGTACAACATAAGAAGAAAGAAGGGGAGAAACAGGAACAGGATTGATTTTGTGAAATCTGCAGAACATTCAAGTAGATGTGAACAAAGATAATGTCCTAAACACCAGTGATAATTTAAACCATAGAAATATAAACCAAATACATGTACATATGATTAACATTGTGGACTCTCTCAAAATGAGTCTCCAGGATTCTAGTTGACATTTATTATAAAATATATGTTCATCAATGGCGAGGATTGTGTTTTTTATAAAATTTATTTAATGACTTTGATTTTGAAATAATAAACATGATCCTAGTGTTACCCTTCGGTGCACATGTGTGGCTTTCCATGTTGAACTGGATGATTAATAAATTTTATGATTTTTCTTTAAATACCAAAAAACGACAAAGTGGTCATTCACTGCAGGCACATTTATTTTAAGAAGATCTTTGTGATGGTTTGTGCAGAATGTATCAATGAATTTAAATATCTTCTACCACTTCACGGTTTAAAGACTGTAGGATGTAAAACTTCATTACATATCGAAGAGATACATGTGGGATCTAGTTCTTAGTTCAAATCGTTTCGGTCACTTTTTATACATTTATTTAACAGTTTATGTTTTATGCAAATGGTTTTGTTAATATAATACCTGCTATTGTTTTCCTTAAGATGGTTGCTTTATGAATTTTTAGATTATATCCTTTGTGTAACGCGGCTTCATTTTTCCATAAACGACTTTTAAAGTACAGACTCTTGTATCAGTTCAACTGTTTGATGGTCGTCTGTCTTTAATACGCCTCTATAGTATTATATAATACAGTATAGGTTCCTATGTATATCTACCTTTCTATCGGGTTGTAAACTACTTCACCTGAAACAATACCATTACCGCCACAAACTAGATCATGAAAAGCATTTGTACTCTACGTCCCGATTTTATGCCAAATTTCATTTTGTTGATGATTATTTTGTATTGTTTGTCACTGTTTTCTTTTATCTAATAAATTGGAAGCAGAACCGGAAGTTGTGACAAATGGTTCCGATGGTGGAACAGAAGTGCTGATCCTGTAAATGCTGAAGATTTAATCGTCCGGAAAGCGGGAATGAAGAGACGAATCGGTTCGTCCATCCAAACTGGTTCGTGGTCCATTGTTGTATGTGTTCGACAAACGCTTAGTAATAGTTAATTTTGGTTTACCAACTCTCTTGTAAATAGTCCATCTTTTGTTATTTTGTTACCGGTAGTCATCAATTGGACAAATTTCCGATTTACAAGAGATTGTACGTTGTATATGGGTATATGTTCATTTACGACCGATGCTTAAACACAATTTTATATGTATGGTACATGATGGGTCGATTCTCTGACACACTGTGGCAAGGATTTAATTGGGGAGATATGACTACTGTATACGACAGCTCATACAATTAGCAATAGGTTTATTTCATATTTTTCTTCCAAAAGTAGCTATATATACCTTTCTCTTCTAACCTGACCTTGATTCCAGTTCGTTAAAGTCACTGTCTGAGACGTATAGACCAAGGTCTACATTTATTTTCGGATTGTGAGATTCCGGATTTAAAGAAGTAATTGTTTGGTCTGTGAAAAGACCCGATCATATTGCTATCATTGTCCTTTCACACTCACAGCCATGCCGTTTAGGTTGATCTTCACCATTAAACTTAACTGGTTATTTTGAAGACCCAATCACATCTGAATACTGTGTCTATCATTGTAGTACGTGCAATTTACAAATTGAGCTATCAAGATCTCAGTTGAACTGATTTTTTTTTCATTGGTTAA